AGGTGGTCAAGAAATTAAAGACCAAGCTCCTTTTTGATTACTGATATGAATCAATTTTATAGGCAACAATTAAAAGAAGTACTGCTAGAGAGAAAGGCATCAAAAACCTATATATCCTTGAAATATAAGAAAGGTACTAAAAACATATCTTGATAAGGAAAAATGACTGCAAAGGAAGGGGTAAAAGGGTGATGTGATCTGACAGCTTATGTTTCAAGAGCCTGGGGTTTTAAAGAAAAATGACTAAGAAAGATCTGGAAAGTACAATGGGAAGCAAAAGGATCTAATACATACCCCAGTTTCAGAATCTCTACTCTGTGAATAGTGGTATTTATAAAAGTAACTTCTATATTTTGTGACTGTACAAAATGCAATATGCTCAGGGCATATCCTGGTTTCTCTTAGAGAAAGACGTAACATTTTTTACAACAGCCTATAATTTCTAAAGAGCACAATATAAAGATTTTGGAGGCTATGGGTAGGTAGGGAATTGAGTACAATTAGGAAATTCCATGAATACGTAGTGATAAAGGTATTGGCAATAAAGCTTGCCTAGGAAGGCTAAGTTATCTTAAAATGGCAATAGTAAACTGGGATATAAGATATGATAAGTTTAATTCTGACGGCATCTGAGATGAATGTTCAAATCAAACTTACATTCTTTTGTGGTACTGCTCTACAGAAATATTGTGATGGCATAGGATACAGGGGATGTTGCATGTTAATGGCGGAGGATGTTAGGTTGGGGGGTGAGAGGTCATTTACAAAATGCATAAGGAGATCTGCAGGTCTCCTCCTGCTCCTGTCATAGACTGTATTTGGCTAAAGAAAATTATCAGTTTTAATAATATAAAGCCTCCCCTAAATGCTAAAGAGACTGACATTAAGGCTGTGATATAATGGCAAGCAGTCTTACCAGAAGACCAAAAGGGGTACCCAAAAATAAATGAAATTTACTTACTAAAATTTGTGTATTTATTGCTACATGTTTAAGCCTCAGTCACCTTCAAAGTACTCTCCATTTGATGCAATACACCTATTAAAATGTTTTTTTCGTTACTCAACACAATTTTGAACTCATCAATTTAGATGCCTTTTAGTGTTTCTGCCATTTTTTGTTTCGCCGCTTCCACACTGAAAAAATGTTTCCCTTTGAGGACTCTTCATCCTAGAAAAAAAAAATCACTCGGGGCAAAATTGGGTGAATAGGGAGAATGCATGGAACATGGGGGTCATGCTGCTTTGATTAAAAACTGCTGAATATTCAGCATGCTGTGAATAGGTTTTCAAGTAAATCACTCATCATAAAATGTGTAAACACGTTAAAAGAATCTCAAAAAAATTCAATGAATATGAATGCAGCCTCTCATAACAACACTAGTTGATACACTGATGTTGATGGGTTCCTAGAACACTTCCCTAATAAGGGAAGCCTGTGTACTACAAGGGGCTTGCCCTCCGAAAAATAATTCTGGATTTTATTGGGTCCCCTTCGCGACATATTTTACATTTCTTTCTTAGCAACAAAATTGAGGAACTGTTTCCATACTTATTTTCTCTAGGACAAATGAAAAATGTTATTAGCTGGAATCATTGGTAAATTAAATGTGAGATAATAATTATTAATCTTCTGGAAAGTAATGAAATTTGAAATAAGTGGTAAACAAAAGAATAATGATTGGCATTTTATATTTTAATACTTTAATGTGAGTCCTATTCGCATTGTACAACATTTTGTGGATGTCACAGTAATTGGTGAATTGAAATGGGGCATGGGTCACAAAAGACAAAAGGACAAATATATTAATACTATTAAATAACATTGATAGATAGGCTTAATCAAAAGGAGAATTAGAAGACTGGAAGGATATGAAAGTATGCAGGGATGATGATGGACATTAAAACTGTGGAATAAGCTCATCTGCATAAATATTTAATTTACCTGAAAGTGAGGGAGAAGTGAGGATAGAACAGAAGAATAATTTAGAATTATTTTGTCTCTTTAATGATACCTTCCATTTCTCTATCTACATTATCATTCCCATGTTATTTTTATGTTCTGTTAGCTTTAGAATCAATAAGAGAACTAGTCAATGCCCTAAAAATTAGCTTCCTCTTTGATTGCTTAGACTAAACCTAGTCCAGTTGCTCTATGAACAGTGACCTGTTTTAAGGATGTGGAAGAATAAGGCAGTTTAAATTTTGTGTAGTCTTTTGTAGTAACTTTAACAAATGCACTGATTTTATGAGTGCCAGGTTTAAATTGATTTAAACATGACTAAGTATGTAAGGGGTGTTGCTCTTCAATAATTTTAGTTGTAATAGTCAGGTAGAATTAGACCCTATAAGAAAAGAAATAAAGGAGATGCTCAACAGGAGGTTGTATAAAGACAACAAATGTAACTATTACTAATGAATGACCTCAGAGTCTAAAATGAGCATTAAAATGAGGTATGGTTACATTTTTTAAAAGTCAAAGAAAGTACAGAAGTGTTTCATATAAGCAAACTTAATATTTATATTTTGCTACATGCAGGTAAGTCCCAAGGATCTTAGCATAGGGTCCAGTTTGTGGATGCATAAACTTTATTTCAGTAGTCCTATAGATAATCTGAAATAAATATTTCTGGAATTATTAGGTTATAAAGGAGCAACTCAAATATTCAATTATTTCTCCTGTCTGTTATGGGTAGAAATCATATCCTGTGACAGTGTTAATAAATTTAATGATTCATAAAGTCTTGTCATAAGTCACGTAAAAGTCATGTGTGTTCTCTACAGTGGACTTTTAATATCCTAAAGAGTTCCTAGCTATATGACTAAAGAAATGTTTGTTTCTCAACTTGGATGGATTTAGAGTGTATCATACTCAGTGATCTATCATAGAAACAAAGAACAGAGTACCGTATGTTCTCACTCGTAGCGAACCTTGAACGATTATCATAATACTATAAGAAAGGGATTGGCAGTAGTGGGAAACTGCCAGGGGAGGGGCATGGGATTGGCAGTTGAGGGAAACTTCCAGGGGAGGGAGAGGCACACCTTATCAACAAGGGTACCTGCATAATGAACCTTTGTATACCTAACCCTGAATTGTACCCCACAGCTTTAAAATAAAATAAATAAATACAAATAAAAGAAATGTTTGTTTCCTCTTAAGTTTTTCTCCTTGTGTACAGGATCTACAGATTCTCTTCAGCAAACCCTATATGAGAAGGTGCTTGCATTTATAGAACTGTTCTTAATGTTTGCTTAGGCATGAGTACAAATTTTCTTCTAAGTTCACCCTGTATTACTATTTTCCAAGGAAGATTGTTCTCTGTAATATGATGCTCAAAATGCTAATTACAGTGTTAATTTATTTATCAAAGATTTTTCTCTGTTGTTTGTCCCCCTACACACACATACACACACACACACACACACACACACACACACACACACACACACGGAGAGAGAGAGAGAGAGAGAGAGAGATAGAATTATGAAGATTAGCTTCCTAATAGAAATCCAAGTTTAATAAAAATTTCCTTCATTATGTAGACATCTGCACATCTACTTCTTATAAAAGTTGTTGATCATCCTAATGACTGTAACAGCTCAGAAGATTTCTAAATAACATTTTACAATACAGTGGTAAGTTCCCAACATATGGAAGAATGAACAGAGGCCACAGGCTTAAATAGAATGTCTGTCACCTACAAAGTAGATGGATTGGACAATGTGTAAGAAATAGAAGATACTAGGTACCAAAGAGATCAGTATTAGTAGGAAGACTTTTTTATTTAACTACTGCTTAGTAAATCCATAGATGAGTGGGAGGAGAGAGAAATTATACTTAATTCATAATAGGAACTAAAGAACAAATGAGTACTCTTATCCTAGTAGACTAATTTTAAGTAAAAAATTAAATTTGCTTCATGATTAAATGTAATATAATTTATACATGACATCCACTTGCAGTGGAAGAGAGAGTTATGCACAAGTCAGGTCAAAAAAAATCTTTTTTAAATTTAATATAATTTTAAAGATGTGGGCTGCAATTCAGGACTAAGTAGATATGTGATCATTTTACAGGTAAAGTTTGGGCCTCCCTTTGGTCCCCACTTCGTCTGATTTGAGATCAGGTACCCTTATTGATGTTATGTGCCCCTCTTCCCTCCCCTGGTAATGTTCTGCTACTGCTAAACCCTTTCTTATAGTGTTATGATAAAGGTTCAGGGTACGCTTATAAGTGAGAACATGTGGTACTCAGTTTTTTGTTTCTGTGCTAGATCACTGAGTATAATAGACTTTAAATCTTAAAGGACTATTCAGTAAGTACAAATATGCATATCTTGGAAGATAGTGAGAGGCAGCCACTTAACAGTGCTCTAATTTGGACAGTATGTCTTTCATATTTTTCCCGAAAATACCAAAGGGCTCTAGGAGAAGAAAAGGAATTACTATCTGAGAGTGGATTGCTGAAAGAGAAACAAAACATAAAATCGGAGGAACTCAAAAGAGATTTTCCCAAAAGCTCAGCATTCTTGAAAAAAGGAGTGAGGAGGCATATGTTCTTCTTCTCATTCTCTCTCTCTCTATATATATATAAATTAGAAACTTTCAAAGAGAATGTCATGGTTCTTCTATCACATTCTTTCAGCTTTACATCAAAGGTAAAATTATTTGCTCTTATTCTTGCTCAGACTTTAGTAAAATGTTGAAGTGTAGAATTACTGAATTTGGATTGGTTAAGAGTAAAGGTTCACTGCAACTTTTTTCATATGGAAAAGAAGCCAAAACCCCATAAATAAATGATTATGAAAACAATATAGGTGTTTAGAAACAGACTTGAAAACAGATTGTGGATTATATAATTCCAAAGAGGCATTCTGCCATCTTTCTCTAGGCCCCATCTCAACAAGTTATTAGAACCCAAACCAGTAAAAACAACTCACTACTCGTGTCTTATTGGCAGGTGTCTAAACTTTCTTTAACAACTACCAACAGTTTCTGCCATGCTAATCTTCAACCATTCCAGTTTCGTGACCTTCACTCTGATGGGCATACCTGGCTTAGAGTCACAGCACTTGTGGATATCTGTTTCTTTCTCCTCCATGTTTATGGCTATCCTCATTGGTAATGGTGTTATCCTCTTCCTGGTGGCCATAGAGCCCACACTTCGCACACCAATGTACCTGCTCCTAGCCCTGCTGATGGTGGCTGACCTCATATCCACTCTGGCTCTGGTGCCCAAGCTCCTCTGCCTCTTATGGCTCAATGATCGGGATATAACTTCTAATGCCTGTTTTACCCAGATGTTTTTCATTCATGGGGCATCGGTAGTCCGATCAGCCCTACTTGTTGCCATGGCCTTTGACCGCTTTGTGGCTGTGTGTGAGCCATTACGTTACAACACAATTCTGAGTCATTCCCTAGTTGGACGCCTGGGACTGATAGCTCTAACCAAGGGTGTGATTCTTATCTTGCCCATGCCTCTTCTACTTCAAAGGTTGACCTTCTGTCACATGGTCATTCCTCATACTTACTGTGATCACATGGCTGTGGTAAAAATGGCCTGTAACCACACTCGAGTCAATAGAATCTACGGGCTCTTTGTGATCCTGCTTGTGATGGGATTTGATCTGGTGCTCATTGGCTTTTCCTATGCCTTCATCCTTCAAGCTGTGGGACGCCTCAGTTCTCGAGATGCCACCTGCAAAGCACTGAACACCTGTTCAGCTCACATATTTGTCATCCTTGTTACATATGTGCCTGCACTCTTTTCCTCTATCACTCATCGCATTGGTCACAATATTCCACCTCATACGCATATTCTCCTTGCCAATCTCTACCTTCTCCTACCCTCTATGCTCAACCCCATTATCTATGGTATAAAGATGAAAGAAATACGATACAAGATGGCCAAATGCCTGGTCAGAAGATCTGCCTAAGTTGTGGGTTGCAGCAATAGACCTGTGAGTAAATAAACAATAAGGACAATTGATAATGTCTTTGCCCAACCATCGAAGATCCAGTTGTATTGACAGATGAGTTGTAGAAAGAATAGACATGAAGGAGTAATTTTCTTTCTCCTTTTATTTTTGGCTTACAGGAAGGATCAATGTGTGTGTACTTTCACTGAGCTATGAACTACAAAAGGGAAAGCCTAAGAGATCTCTTTCTATGTTTATTTAACAGGGACACTCTGATGTCAAGGGTCTCCTGATGCTCATCACCCACAAAATTGTTCTGTAAATTATCTAAGGTCTCTTTCCTTGTCTTGGTTGAGAGTTTATATTCGCTTTAATATTCTTTCTATTTCCCAAGTTTTCTGTGTCTGTTTATATCGAGTATCTTCTTGCTGAAAGGAACATGATGTACTCATTATCTTTTCGTATCAACTAAACATGTAATAACTTTTCAAGCAATTGGTCTTTTCATCAATGTTTTCTTAATTCAATGACAATGTGGCATGTTCACAATACTGAAAGGATGATTGTGATGATAAAGGTGCGCATGACAAAAATGGAGTCTGAGCATGATATATATATACCGAATTTAGGGACTGTTGAGACACATATTTCAAAAAGTTGTATTGTAAGGAAAACATGTATTCAGATGCCTAATTCAAAAGACTCCCATGACCAGAAGCTTCATCTTTTAAAAAAAGCATATGTGAGCAGGAAATCACCTGTTCCTGAAGTGATATTTAAGAACTCACATTATACACAAAGGCCAACTTATATTGCTATGATAAAGTATTGCTTTGCTGATATATTTCAAATCATTATATTGAGTGAAATTTCTAACTAATCTTTTAAATGCATAGTTATCAATGGATCCATTGTACAGCACAATATGATAAATACAAGACTGAGTAGTTAGATAACATGTGAACAAAGTGAATAAAGGTTAAATAAAAGGAATATAAGAACTACAAAAAATAGTATAATCACAACTTTAGCACATGTAGGATCCTTTCCTCTGACTTTTAATTCAATAAAAGTCAGAAGAAAGAATCCTACATGTCTAAATTCCTTTAAATCTATATAGTTGTACTTGAGAGTCTTAAAAGGATAATAACATGAAGGATAAGTGTAACGTATATATATACTCTTCACCTCTTTCAGTAATTTCTAATCAGCCCTGATCTCCCCTCTGTCCTGATTACCTGAACTATCTGTAAACTCTAGGTACAACTTTAATTGCTGTAATCTAGAACAGAGAGGGCCCTCTGTACTGATTACTCCTTTCCCTGGGATTTTACCTGGTTCTGCCTAGCATTTAGAGTAGGAAGATGCCTACAGACAGGAAAACATCATATTATCCATATAAGGGAAAAAATCATTCTATCCAGTCAATTCTGTTGCTAATTATTTTGGTAAAGAATTGGCTGAATTCACTCTGAACTATAAAAATGTTTTTATAGGATGTGTTGGAAAAGGTTGGCATAGGGAGAAGAAAAGAGATAATGTCAGATTATTCACCTATGCTGGAATCTTTGTGCCTTTTTGTTTTTCATAAGCAAGATCTTTCACTGAAGTTTAGAGCATAAAAAGATTGATGCCTAACACTGACTTTCGATCACTGTCATGTTCAGAGGGGCAGGGCTTATAGAGAAATTAAGAAAATAAATTACTGAATATTGTGCAGTTTTCAAAATGCAATCTCATTGATGGAGAGGACTTATAGATAGATTTAAATATAGAATATGCAGATGAAGATATTGGGTGATAAGAAACCTTAAGAAAAGTCCTGTTCAAAACCAGGAGTGAATTCTGCAGTATGTTCCTCACATTCTATTAACTCCAGCAAAAATGTCACCTGTTCTGGTGACTCTGTGACAGATATTCTAGGTATTTTTGCGTATAAAAGCTCACTGAATCATTTCAAAATCAACTTAAGTTATATAATAATATTAATTGTGCAGATCAAGTTACAAAGGTTCATTTCTTTGTGTAATATTTCCACAATCACACAGGTTGTGAGTGACTAAACCTCAGTTCAAATTATAATCTATGTGATCATAATGTATTTTCCCACTTTATTATGCCCATGCTGTCACTTTAAAGACAACCCAGAATGAAGAAGTTGTGGAGCAAGACTAAGGGGCACATTTAGCAGGAATGCTTTCAATCATAAAAACATGGCAACTATCGTGTGCCTACTTCATTCCTAATACCAAAAATTAATTCTAGACTTGCCTTGATTGAAGTATGAGAAGTTGAAACCCATCTGGATAACTGAAAATATCTCCTTTGTCTAGTTATTCTTTATTTTTAATACCCTGCCTGACCTTCATGCAATCTTCACTCTTCTGATATGTATACTGTGCCCTTGGAGTTGGCTTTGATAAAATGCATTATCAAGCCATCATTGCCATTTGTCTTCTGATTGAGTTTTTTCAAGGGAGCTCAGAGAAGGAGACAAGATTAAATATGCAAGAATTTTGAAACTGAAGAAATAAAAAGTGGAAATTGGAAATACCTGTGTGAAAAAAAAAATAAGGAGCTAGACTAGGCTGGAAAAGCTATATTAGGAAACCACTGCTGGTCTCTGCTGCTGACAAGTTGGGTACTCAGTGGGAGTCCATGGTGTTGGGTCCACCTGCAGCTTCCATCTCTATGACCATGGATACTTGACAGTTTCATAGTTGCTGATGATGAAGACTAGCTAATGTCAACTAACGAAGTCATTTTGTCCTATTCATTCAGTATTTCTTCTTATGTGGATGCATTTTGGCTTCCTGATAGTTATTAACATGTTATATAAAAGCCTTAAATGTTGTGTTCATTATCATATGCACACTCACCTCACATGTCTTTTACCCAGACCTCCCTGCCTTCAACATTTTAGTCCTTTTACTTCCATAAACCCAGTTGGAGAACCAGGCCTTTGAATGCTGACCCAGCTTTTATGTTCTCACCACAGGCCACTTCTCTTTCTACTCAAAATACATGACTGTTGCACTGCTCACAACTCCACCCAGTGGGAAAGATTCTTCTTCTCCATTATGTTTAAGCACCATGTCTGAATGTGGCTGCAATGCAACTTCCATCAATTGTCGGCTTGTACATACTTACCATGATCACCCATTGGTAAACTGTATTCAGCATTTTACCTCTCCCATTGTCCATCATGCTTGGCCCACCATTACCTTCCCACTCAGGCATAAATGCAAATCCTGGAGAGGCACTGATATAGCTCTAGTAATTATCATGAGTGTCTGAACTTCCTGCTCATGCAGTTTATTTGCACACATGGTCTTTCTCAGGCACAATTCTGATGTATCATTTACATTTCATGATGGACTACTGACTTCATAATTGATGTGTCTGACTTTATAGATTGGTAGGTCTGCCAGAACCTAGCTCATTAGGAAGTTCTGAACAAACGATCGTTGCCTAATATCTTGCTGCAAAACAAATTGTCCCTAAATAAAGCAGCTTAGAAAAATGAACATTTATTATCTCATACAAGTTTTGAGAATTAAAGTCAGTTTAGCATATGGTTCTAATTCAGGTTCTTCCATGGGGTTTCAGAAACTATATTATCAGGGGCCAAAGTCATCTTGAGGCTTGATGGGCTCAGTCTCATGAATCATCAGATCAATGCAAATCAAAACCACATTGAGATACCACCTAACCCCAGTAAAAATGGCCATCATTAATAAAACAAACAACAACAGATGCTGGCAAGGATGCGGAGAAAAAGGAACACTTCCACATTACCAGTGGAAATTCAAACTAGTTCAACCTCTTTGGAAGACAGTGTGGCAATTTCTGAAAGAACTAGAAATTAACCTTCCATATGACTCAGCAATCCCCCCATTTGAAATATACCCAGAGGAGCTCAAGTCATTCTACCAAAAAGATACCTGCACATGCATGTTTGTTGCAGCTTTATTCATAATAGCAAAAACATGGAACTAACCATGCTGCCCATCAAACCTGGGCTGGAATTAAAAAAAAAAATGTGGTACATAAACACAATGGAATATTATGCAGCCACAAAGAAGACAAACATATGGACTTTGCAGCAGCTTTTATTATCCTTCTATGCAGCATCAAAACAAGTTACTAGTAATCAGTAAACTCTGTTATTTTTGTAGGCAATTCTTTCTTCATATATTTCACTTGGCTATATCATTGTACTTAACATAAAATCTACCTTCACTGATAAAATAGCAATTGAACCACCACCTCTTTTAAGTACTATTCTGCTACACCTTACCAATCAGGAGAGCATCTTCTGCCTGCCAGACAGAAAGCTCCTGTTTCCTATCTTACCATTTGTACCACTTTCAGTATTGTTTGCATTAGTGTGACTCTTCTGCAAAGCAGATACCAAGATGGGATTGAACATATTAGGGAAATAGTGTGTGATGAAGAGAAGAGAGTGAATCGTTGTAGGTTGGGGCAACAGTCAGACCACAACATAAATTCAACCCCAAGTTAAGAAGAAAGAGAGAAAAGTTTGGGTCAAAGTGTATTAGATTGCCATACAAAACCAAAGTCAGCTGACCAAGAAGCCAATCAAGATGTCCCATGTACCCCAGCTATAGGTCTCCCTTAGTATCCTTGCCACACTTAGGGGTGAAGAGTGGTCAATGGGAGACATCTATTCAAATTTCAGATTTCAAATTGCAGGAGTTAGGCTCTTCAGTCAATTAGGTCCTTATAGTACACATTCATACAGCCATTGTGAGACACTAAAAGGAACTTGGAGGCAAGAGAAAAGAAATCTGTGAGTAGATAATACCCATTCTCTCTCTGTCTCTCTCTCTCTCTCTCTCCCCCCCCCCCCCCCCTTTAAGGCAGGGTAAGCAAATTTTTTTCTGTAAAGTTTTGGGTAGTAAATATTTTTTGGCTTTGCGGGTGATATGGTCTCTATACCACTAATCAGCATTGCCACTGTAGAGTGAAAACAGCTTTAGATTATTATGTAAGTA